TGCTGTTTTGCATTTGCTTTGTGGTGCTCTCAGCTTCACGGAGACGCATCTGATAGTATTGGCACCAAAGCTGCATCAGGTTCACTATCAAAGAGGGGCCCTCTACTCCCTATAAGCTTTAGCCCAGTTTAAGGATCAAACCCCGACAATAGCTTGAAGAAACTTCCATTCCATGAATGCTTGATGAGTGTGATTACTTTCTTAGTAGAAAAAGAAAGCTTGTACTGGTTACATGTTTTTTAAGCAGTTGCTGAAACACCTACTGAATTGGTACTAAATAAAACATAGTGGTACTAAAAACTAGGTCCTATATAAGTGTTTGGCAAACCTGAGGACTTTCAGAGCACACCCTCCTGCTCCTGCCTCAACAACACGGTGATTCCTCTCTGTGAGGAGGAGCCCAGATATGTGCCTTTTAAAAAGCACCTTCTGATAATTCTGTGGTCATTTATTAGCCATATGTTGAATATGTTGGTTCAAAAAAAATGTGTATGCAAAAAAAAAAAAAAACCCTACTTACTTTGAGAGGAAGTATGCTATGGAGATTAAGAGCTTCAACTCTGGAGCCAGCTGGCCTGGAATTGAATCCCAGGTCTATCATATTTATTTATAATCTTGGACAGTTTGTTCATCTGTAAAATGGGATATAATAGTATGTACCTCATGGGTGTTGTGAGGGCTCAGTGAGCTATAAAATATAAAATACTTTATGTGGGCCTGGCTAAGAGTTACCAGTCAATAAATTTTAAGTACAGTTATTTATTCTTGTCACTTCTATTTTACTTCCAATAAATTTTTCTTAATCCTATAGAAAAGAAAACTTTAGTGAATTTCATAAGGCAATATAGAATAGGTTAAGAGGGCATAAGAGAACATTGTATAGACTTTGAAACAAGACAGAGCTATGTTTGAATTTCACTTGTACCCCATGGGAAGTTGTATTGTCTTAACCCTCTGTTTTCTTACCTAAAAAATGGGAATATTGATGCTTGCTACAGTGCTGAGTTGTTGTGGAGTACAGATAAGCATGTGAAAGGTGAACATACCCCTAATGTATAGTAAGTACTCAAAGGATGTTATCTATTTTTAGTGTTATTATAATATGTATAACTTGTATTGTAAATTGTATAATTTGTCTAATACACAAATGCTGGGGATATTTGTATAAGTTGACTATAAATGTCTAGTTATTTAATAAGCTCTAAGGTTTCTTTTAAGCCCACTTGATAGGGAAAGGACTAATTAGTTTAAATATAATTAGTATTTGTTAATTTGTGTTAACTGCTTAACTGATTACTGATTAATTGATGCTAATTAGCTTAAATACTGACTAGTAAGTCATGAGTATACATGTTAATATGTACATAATAGCTCTATGTATATAGTATATGCATATCATTCATAGGTAGAGTCAGTACCCAGCTTTAGGAGGAAAGAGAAGAGGAATTCAGGAAGGTTTTTTTCTGAGGAAAAGGCTTTCTAGTTCATGCTGAATTGTGACATTGATTAGAAATTAGCCAGGATACAATGGGAGGAAGTCAAGTGCAAAGAGTAGCCTTGAGAACTGCGCATTGCCTCCCTGAAATTAAGGGGATGCATGCAGTTGGAGTTACTGGGAAGAGACCAAAGAAATCCAAGAGAGAAGCTGGAGCCAGACCAGGGCTAACAAAGTCCTGGTAATGAGTTTAAATTCTCTCCTAAGGGCAATAGGGAGCCTCTAACAGTTACCTTTGTAAGGAGGGGAGTGAAAAGATATGCACATTAGAGCAACCGTTTCCGTGCCTTTGTGGCAGGTGAACTGAAGGAACCAGGTGTGGGTGGGCAGGGAAGTGGAAAGGAGGCTGTGGCAGAAATCCAGGGCTGGTGGCTAGACTAAATTAGAGTTCTCTTTCTTTAAGTCTTCCATGAAGGCTGGTGGGGTGGCCCTGCAAAACTGATTCTGGTGATGAAGCATTGATATTGCCTGAGCCTGATTCCCTAATATATGCACCTCATCCTGAAGTAAGTTAGATCCTTTTGGAAGTTGCATTCAGTGTCCTAGGCCACTGGAGTGCCATTAAGCTCCTGCTCTAGCATACTAAATGGAATGGAATCTCAGCCTGTAGTCAGCCAGTAAATGAGTATAACTTACGTTGAAGTCCAGCTATTGTACAGTCTTAGAAGTAGCGTTAGGTCTGGAAAGTCACTTGGGTACCATTTAGAGTACTGAACTGTGATTTACTTGGGCATACCTCATACCTCAGTGGCCTCTGTGTGCCAGTATAGCTTCCATGCCTTTTTCTACTTTGTTCCAAGGAATAACTTATGGAATGAAAACGTCCACTTAAAAAGTATATTTTCTGTATATTATTCATTTTCTTAGTGGTTAGGGATTACTGAGGTTAGTATTTACTGTTCAAAAATGTGTAGTATAAATGAAAGTAGCAAGTCATAACCTAAAGCTGTGTAGTTTAAATGGAAATAACAAGTTATAACCCAAAGTAATTTTTCCTATCAAGTGTATATAATAGTTAAAAAATACATTGATATTCATGTTGATATCATCCAAAAGAAATTTAAAATGTATGTTCAGGAAGTTTTTTACATGCTCATTATAAGTTTGCTTTGCTTTATATATAATATTAATATTAATTATTTGCTGATCTACCAATACATCAACTGTGAGTCATATGCCCGTGAAGTCCAATTATAAAACTGATGTCAATCTGGTAAGTCCTGCGAGATCCACAACTATGTCTTAGTCATCTTTTTATCCCCTTGTAATTATCACCATGGGCCCAGAAATTAATACATGTTTAATAAGTATGTGATTGCCACATGCAAATGAGCATTTATATGGGAAGCTGGTCTCACGAGACCCAAGTGCTCACAGTGGAATAAATATTAGTGTGAGAGCTCTCTTCTTATCTGTGACAGGTGTTCTGGGAACTTTGAACAGTGAGTATTCCCTAAAGATAAAAATTAAGAAACTCAAATTTAATCTGTGTGATAACTAAATTTGAAACCATCTTTGGAAATATTTTCCCTTCTTAATAAAAATAACAAATCCTTGGATCAAGTTTTCAAAGTTATGCTTGATAAATAGGAAAAAAATTTTAGATAAGCAAACAGACTGCTGTATTTATCTGGTTTGGAAAAGTAGAAAGGGGAAGACATACATAAATATACTGAGAAATTTTAGAAATGTTTACTGGAAGAAACTAATAGTTCCTAACATTTGTGTGATATTGTAGATAGTTCTTTGGGCTTTCTAAAACATTGCCTCATTTGAGCTGTTTAAGAGTTTTTGCAGATAAGGAAGTTATATCTTAGAGTAGATGATTTGTCCAAAGTCCAAACAGCTCATAAGTGATGAACTGGAAACTATGTTTTCTGACTCATCAGCCAGCATTTAAATGTTCGGTAGTAAGTAAATAATTGACACATACTGACTGTCGCATCATACGTGAAGGAATCTGTGAATAGCTGGTTCGCGATGAAACTTCCCCCCTACATTTATTGCCTATACCACTCATTTGCCATAAAATTAAAATTTTTAAAAATGGTCTTTCTATTTATAGAAACAGCACAGGTTCTGAGTAGAAAATTTTTAAATGTGCATTGGCTTCATGAATATTATGAGACTAATGATTGTACTCCTCCATAAATAACATTTCTGAGATTTCTGTGCTTTTTAAAATGTTTTATGCTTTTAAAAATATTTTGAGTGAGATCACCAAAAACATTTTTTGGTATTTTAGTTTTTACTTTAATAATATAGTATGAACATTTTCCCCAGGTCATTATACACCATTATAATACTCTTTCAGCAGCTTCATAGTGCTCCATTTTCTGAATAACACCTATTTGGGGATGCTTTCTATGTTTTGTTATTAGAAACAACACTGAAGAACATCTTTACTAACTATTTCCTTGTATAAATCCCTACTTTTTTTCCTTAGAGTAAATATCTGGCAATAAAATTGCTGGGTTAAATGATATACAAAATTTCTTAGTCATTGACAGACTAGTCCAATGGAAAGATTGTGCTATTTAAATTCCTGTTTTGCGGCGATGAATGACATTTTTTTTCCACATTTGCCAACCCACGATATTGTCTTTCCAAAAATCTTTGCCAGTAAAATTAACAAAAATAGTATATTGTTGCTTTGCATAATTAAACAATAAGATAGTTTATTAAGTGGAGGAAGGAACTAAGATGTGCTCGTATGTTTATATCCGAGGGTGTTTGTTGTTGAACATATTCAGACCTTCAATAAATACAGTGTTTCCTAGACATGTAAAACATCAAACATTGATTATGTTCCTCTTTGACCTTTTTTAATCGAATAATTCAAGTGCTAACATTTTTTCTTCTGTAAAATAAAATAATCAGTTTTTTCAATGGGCTCTTATAATGCCAAGCACAAGCCTGAAAGCATTTTAAGTTCTTTATAGTAGCGTCATAGATTTTGACTTTGCAAGAACTCTAAAGATCATCTAATCTGATCTCATCATTTTACATTAAGCACATATAATATAAAGATATAAAAAAATCCTTGTGTGTTTTACAAATTAAAATGGAAAGCTGTCTAATGTTTCTACACAGATGTCTAATTTTGCCTGTAGTTTGAGTTCTATCTCATCATTTTACATTAAGCACATTTAATGTAAAGATATAAAAAATCCTTGTTTTACAAATAAAAATAGAAAGCTCATGTCTAATGTTTTTGCACAAATGTCTAATTTTGCCTGTAGTTTATATGAGTTATTCACGTCCTCAGAAGTTTAAACCTCTTTACTCTTTAATTGTTAGTAATATAGTGGAACTAAACTTGTCAGCCATTTTAAGAGAACAGAATTTTTGCCATGGCAGTGGATTCTGGTTTTGAAGAAAAACCAGATGCATTTGCTGTATCTAAATAATAATAACCTAACTTTGCTTTATCTAAATAATAATTTCCTATAGGCACATTATTCTGCAAAGTTCAGTCAACCATGTTTCTTTCCATTTTTTTTAGGTAGCAGTTTTACAACATCATCAGGATTATATACAGGGAATAATTCACTCACAAATTCCTCTGGATTTAACAGTTCACAGCAGGTAATTTTAAGAGCCAATTTAACTTCAGAAAAAAAATTAAATGCAACAGATGATTTTCTTATATAAAGAAAGATCTGTTTATATTACACTATAAGTGAGAGCTTACCTAAGCCTCTTAATATATATTTTTTCTTCTAAAAGTCCCTTCTAACAGTCTCATATGGTGAGTTTTTTGGTTTTCGTATTGGTTTAATTTTACCTAGTAATGCATCATGGAAAAGAAGAGATATGAAGAGTGTTTCTGATCTTACATAAAATTTGCTTGCAAGTCTAAGCACTTCAGTCAGCATATGCTTGTGTGCTCCTTTGTGAATTGAGAGAAGACACAGAAACACACATATATTTAGTCATACTTGGAAAAGTTATCAGTAAGCAGCAGGATGCTGACAGATTATTCTCGTGTGGTTTGATTTGCAGGACTACCCATCTTATCCCAGTTTCGGCCAGGGTCAGTACGCACAGTATTATAACAGCTCGCCATATCCAGCACATTATATGACGAGCAGCAACACCAGCCCAACAACGCCAGAGAAATTTTAGAAATGTTTACTGGAAGAAACTAATAGTTCCTAACATTTGTGTGATATTGTAGATAGTTCTTTGGGCTTTCTAAAACATTGCCTCATTTGAGCTGTTTAAGAGTTTTTGCAGATAAGGAAGTTATATCTTAAAGTAGATGATTTGTCCAAAGTCCAAACAGCTCATAAGTGATGAACTGGAAACTATGTTTTCTGACTCATCAGCCAGCATTTAAATGTTCGGTAGTAAGTAAATAATTGACACATACTGACTGTCGCATCATACGTGAAGGAATCTGTGAATAGCTGGTTCGCGATGAAACTTCCCCCCTACATTTATTGCCTATACCACTCATTTGCCATAAAATTAAAATTTTTAAAAATGGTCTTTCTATTTATAGAAACAGCACAGGTTCTGAGTAGAAAATTTTTAAATGTGCATTGGCTTCATGAATATTATGAGACTAATGATTGTACTCCTCCATAAATAACATTTCTGAGATTTCTGTGCTTTTTAAAATGTTTTATGCTTTTAAAAATATTTTGAGTGAGATCACCAAAAACATTTTTTGGTATTTTAGTTTTTACTTTAATAATATAGTATGAACATTTTCCCAAGGTCATTATACACCATTATAATACTCTTTCAGCAGCTTCATAGTGCTCCATTTTCTGAATAACACCTATTTGGGGATGCTTTCTATGTTTTGTTATTAGAAACAACACTGAAGAACATCTTTACTAACTATTTCCTTGTATAAATCCCTACTTTTTTTCCTTAGAGTAAATATCTGGCAATAAAATTGCTGGGTTAAATGATATACAAAATTTCTTAGTCATTGACAGACTAGTCCAATGGAAAGATTGTGCTATTTAAATTCCTGTTTTGCGGCGATGAATGACATTTTTTTTCCACATTTGCCAACCCACGATATTGTCTTTCCAAAAATCTTTGCCAGTAAAATTAACAAAAATAGTATATTGTTGCTTTGCATAATTAAACAATAAGATAGTTTATTAAGTGGAGGAAGGAACTAAGATGTGCTCGTATGTTTATATCCGAGGGTGTTTGTTGTTGAACATATTCAGACCTTCAATAAATACAGTGTTTCCTAGACATGTAAAACATCAAACATTATGTTCCTCTTTGACCTTTTTTAATCGAATAATTCAAGTGCTAACATTTTTTCTTCTGTAAAATAAAATAATCAGTTTTTTCAATGGGCTCTTATAATGCCAAGCACAAGCCTGAAAGCATTTTAAGTTCTTTATAGTAGCGTCATAGATTTTGACTTTGCAAGAACTCTAAAGATCATCTAATCTGATCTCATCATTTTACATTAAGCACATATAATATAAAGATATAAAAAATCCTTGTGTGTTTTNCTCTTCAGATTAATTTAGTCTTTACCTACATTTCTTAGATTTTTTTCTCATACCTCTCACCTCTTTTTCTTAACTTTTTATGTATGTAGTCTTTCCTTTCATGGATTATGAGATGAACTGTTATTTAACAGGCAGAGTGTTCTTCTTGCCTTTTATTCTTAGAGCCAAGATCTGCTCTTTGTTACAAGTCAGAGTAAAATGGTCTTACATTGAGAGACACATCTGTGACTTTGTGCTCAGTTTGGTAGTTTTGCTGTTTATCAGAAATCACACACACAAAAATTATGTAAATGATGCTAATTTAAATTTTGATTATTTTGACTAGGCTTACCTTGTAAATGTTAGCAGATGAGCCCTGCAAAACTCCTTTAAGTTTTTAGGATTTCACATTTTTCTCATCAATGCATGCAAACACAGTCTTAGGAAGTTAGATCATTCCTAAACTTGTATTCCAACTAATTACAAATACTTTTTCTGCCATACATCTCAGCTCTAAACATTTTTATCTTTGTTCATCATTCCCTTACCTTTATTTAAAATAACTAGCTTGATGTAATAGTCTTCACTCAGTTTACATGTATAAATGCAGTATTCATATAACCTAGCATACATCTCTCTCTCCTCTTACTTAGATTTCACATCTATATAATCACACTCAAAATAAACTTCATTATTGAAAGTATTGAATTTACTGTAGAAGTTATTGTGGAATTTCCCTCTCTACTTCCGTAAGCTTCATTTAGGCATCATGAGGGAAGAGTGGCTTGTCCCCATTTTAGGGAGATACTGTGTTTTCACATGAACCATATGGGTCATGCAAGCTTCTTGAGAACTAATAAATAAGGTTTGGAAATGAGGATAGCTATGTGAATGAAGGATAGAAAACCTCTTTAGGGCCTGTGGAATAATAAAATGAGGGAAGAAGATAGCAGAATAATTTTACTTTATGACATTTTGGCTGTGAAGAGTACAATATAAAACAGGTGAAGACTTAATCATGTTTCTTAAATTAAGGATTAGAGCTTTTAAAAAAAGATCAGTTGGTCGTACCATAAAAGATTGTCTCTGAAACTTGATGTTGTTCTAAGTGAATTTTATTTGTAAAAGGGATGACATATGAAAAAGTGTGGATGACTGAGCACAAAACCATTACTACATAGAAAACAATGTGAAATGGTACTTTTCAAAAGGTGGTAATGATTTTATTTTAAAATGGAATGATCTACTTTATATTTCATTTGAATAAATGCTTAATGTTTTAGGTTCTTATTTCAATTGCAATATCTTTATGGCTATATGAATGAATTGAACTGGGGAAAAAAAATATTTTTTGGATTTCTTATATTCCCCACTTCCCACTAAAATGAGTGTGTATGAATCAGCCTTGTATTGAATATTTAGAAGTGAAAATGTCAGTGATATTCCACATTGGAAAACAAGTACAGATTACTTTAAAAATTCAAGGAAGACTGTTTTGTTTTGTTTTTTGTTTTGAACATTTGCAGTTAGATTGCACATTCAGCCTAAGATTTTGTGTTAACTTTCCATTCTTACTAGTCATATGTACAATTATAGACTTGATGAAAAAGAAGCTTTTATAGTAAAGTAGATACAGTCACTAAACTAAAGATTTAGAGAGAATGATTTACCACATATAACCTAATGTTTTTGTTTAGAAAAAAATAGTAAAAATGTTTATTTTTTGTTGAAATAATTTCAAGTGGTTTGTTTTCTTTTAATAGTCTTTTGGGTTTAAAGACAGTGTTTTTGAATACTGGAAAGTTAGTCTCTAGTCATTAGTTGATCTTATGTATGACTAGGTTTCTCTGCCTTTCAGTTTCCTGGAATTATGAAGTACATATGAGTGCACAGCATGTGTGCTTCTCCCACATTTTATGATATTTGCTCTTGTATCATTCATTGAATTGTTATGTCATATGTCATATGAACATATAAGATAACACTGTAAGGTTTCTTTTGGGACATGTAAAGGATCGTTTGTCTTTTTTACTGTGTATTTTTAAAGTTATATGAAGAATAGGTATCTTTTTAGTCTAGATATTATGCACGTGCCTCCTCATGAATCTTATGTTAAATTATTTTAATGTGTTTATAATTAAATATTAAAGCTATATTCTTTGGATAAATGTGTAATATAAAAATAACAAACAGGCAAGTTTAATCTCAAATTTTTAATTCATTTTAGAAACTAAAAACTGTGTGCCTTTGTATTCATTTTTATTTTTCATTGAGGTATAATTGACATAAAACATTGTATCAGTTTCACATGTACAACATGATTCAGTATTTGTATATACTGTAAAATGATCACCATAATAAGTGTAGTTAACATACATCAACATATAGTTACAAAATTTTTTTCTTGTAATGAGAACACTTAAGATCTACTCTCTTAGCAACTTCCAAATCCTTGGCATTCATTTTTAAAAGTGAGTTCATTAGCTATGTTTTGACTATCTTAATGAAATAAAATTTATATAATCTGAAGACATATAAGAATCCTTCTATCTTCAGAAATTCAGTGAGGCTTTTCTGGCCATTCAGCAACATTTTAATTCAGTTATTAGATTCAAAAAAATCATGCGTACTCTTCAGCTAGCAGTGCCAGCTTCCTTCTCCCAACTGAAGGACGTCTTTGTTGCTTCCAATTTCAACAATTATACATAAAGCTACTATAGACATTTGTGGGCAGGTTTTTATATAGACATAAGTTTTCAACTCATTTGGGTAAAAACCTAGGAGTGTGATTGCTGGATTTTATAAGAAACTGCCAAATTGTCTTCCAAAGTTCTATGTGGTTTTACATTCCTACCAGCCAAGGAATGAGAGTCCTGTTGCTCCACATTCTCATCAGCATTGATGTCAGTATTTCAGATTTTGGTGATTCTAATAGGTGATCTAGTTGTTTTAATTTGTATTTCCTAATGAAATACAATGTTCAGAATCTTTTAATATGCCTATTTGCCATCAGCATATCTTCTTTGGTGAGGTGTCAAGCTCTTCTGCCTACTTTTTAATCAGGTTGTTTTATTATTGAGTTTTAAGAGCTCTTTGTATATTTTGGTTAGAAGTCCCTTCTCAGGTCTGTGTTTTGCATATACTTTTTTCCAGTCTGTGGTTTATCTTTTTATTCTCTTAACAGCATCTTTTTTTTTTCATGTAAAAGTACTTAGTTTATTAATCCTCTCATGAAAAATCTGCACAATCAGCACAAATAAAGTCACTACAGAATCTTTACTTCTTCTGTTGTCCAATCTCCAGCTCACTTTTTGCCAGCACCAACAATGGCCTTTTCAGTCCCCCTGACTTTCTTCATTCTGTTCTGGCATTCCTTTCACTGTTTTCTTGAGGTCTTTTTCTTCTTATACAGTCCATGTTTTGCAAGTCTATGTTTGGGTTCATTTTTCTTTGCATAATCCAAAGAATCATAAATCTTGCCAAAGCCAGTTATCCTGTCACCACCAAAATGAGTTCTGAGTCCAAAACCAAAGATGACATCTGGTGTGGTCTTGTAGATTTTGGCTAGTTTTTTGAGAAATTCTGTCTTAGGTACAGTTTCCTTCCTAGGGTGAAGGACATCAATGACCCTTTGTTTCTGCTGAAGTAGTCAGTTGATCATGAACTTTGTGGCCCATATAGT